CCAGATGATACAACTCGGTGTTTTTGAAGTGACTAGTATATCCGTGCCAGATGATACAACTCGGTGTTTTTGAAGTGTCTACTATATCCGTGCCAGATGATACAACTCGGTATTTTTGAAGTGACTATCATATCCGTACCAGTGATATAAGTCGATATTTTTCAAATGACTAGTATATCCGTACCAGGTGATACAACAGGTATTTTTGAAGTGACTAGTATATCCGTGCCAGATGATACAACTCGGTGTTTTTGAAGTGACTAGTATATCCGTGCCAGATGATACAACTCGGTGTTTTTCAAGTGACTACTATATTCGTACCAGTGATATAAGTCGATATTTTTCAAGTGACTACTATATCCATACCAGATGATACAACTCGTCAATTTTCAAGTGACTACTATATCCGTACCAGGTGATATAAATCGGTATTTTTGAAGTGACTAGTATATCCGTACCAGGTGATATAACTCGGTATTTTTGAAGTGACTATCATATCCGTACCAGTGATATATAAGTCGATATTTTTCAAATGACTAGTATATCCGTACCATGTGATACAACTCGGTATTTTTCAAGTGACTACTATATATGTATCAGGTGATACAACTTTGTATTTTTGAAGTGACTGCTATATCCGTACCAGTGATACAACTCTAGATATACCTTATAATTTGCTTTTTTGTAACATAACTAGTAAGTGTTTTTAAAAAGAGTGAAATCGAAAATTATTTCCAATGAACCCAATTTGATCCAACATAACAGTGTTTGGAAGTGACTTAATAGGATGTTGGAGGTAATAATGATACAAAAAATAATATTATGATATTAGGTTTATATGAACCAAAAGAAATAACTGATAAAATGAAAAGGTAAAACGTATTTGAAACAACAAAATCACCATTTACAGTCTATGAGCCTTCTTGGATAATAGACCAAATATTCAATACTCAGGACTAGAAAGAACTTAACATTTCAGACAACAAACTGATTCATTGACTATTCAAGTTACTGTTGTCATACTGCGGAGACTTAGCGACACTATCAGTTTTCAAGGTAATTTTACTATTTCCCATACGAATCAGGAACTACACAGGGACCGAGCCCGTGTCGAAAGAGTTAATAGACTAAGTTTCTTTGGAAGTTTCTGAAGAAATAAACCCATTTGATCTTTATATGCTTTTAACATGCTGTTGCAGAAACAAATGAATATCACGTAATCTTTTTTGTTTTATCTAATAACTGTTTATGCTATTTAAACAATGACCCCATTCCAAGGAGAGCATCCTCTCCCGGATGCTCAGCAGTAAGTTTGGAACCCCAAACGGTAAAATTGGGGGTTTGATCCCTGCAACTGGCACAGCGCAGGTAGCCTATTGTGCAGCTGTGCGCTAAAATAACAAAAAACATGGATATTTTGATCTATTTTAATAAAACATAATTGATTTAGAACAATGGTTTTATTTTTTATTACTTTATATAATTTAGCCTATAAATCAGTAAACCCGAAGGAAGTCATTATTCCCAATTTTACCGAGAGTGGAAAGTAATTTCTTGGACACATAACCACGTGGATTTCCTGAAAGTTTTTACTTCGTATTTCTTTACTTCACAAATACTTACCATATTTTAAGAGAAACTGTTTACGACAACTTCCTTCAACTAGTAACTTGCAAGATCTACACACCAGTTCAAAATTACCTAACTATAATTCCAATAACATACATTAGGTATTTCCAGGTTATAATAGATTCATAAGCTTCGAGTAGCATATGTACATACATAATTTTCATTTACTTAAGAAATAGTTTAAAACACGAAAGCTAAAAAAAATGGTTGAGATATCAAAACTAGCATTTTACTTTGAACAAGATGTGCAACTATTTTAATTATTGCTTGTTCAACAGGGTAAGTAAAAATAAACAAAGAGAAACGGGATGTAATGAAAACGTCATTTAAAAAAACTGTGTAGCGTGAGAATGAGTTAGATCGTGGTAGCGGCACAGTGGCATTTACAACGCTAGAAACCGTGTTTCGATATCCGTGGGTAGAGCACACGTAGCCCATGGTGATTTTTGTGCTTAACTTCAAACAAACAAAATTGTTGTAATTATATATTTGTATTCCTGTATTATTTGATTAAATGCCAAGTATTTTCTAAAAAATGGTAAAATCACTTGCAGCAATCATTTGAAAACTTAAATAAAAATATAAACTTCTTTGATGTTATAAAATCATAACAAACGTTCTAGACTCTAGAGAACTTCTAAAGAAATATGTATCAGAAAATTATTACATTATAAACCTAACATCAAAATAAGACAATTAGTAACAAACAAACAAAAAAAACAACAACCCAAGCCAGGGTACTTGTGAAGGTTTTAACATTGGGTGTTGCAGATTTCATGAAAGTCGTTAAAATATTAAGTTAACTGTCAGTAAAAAAAGACTTATTATTGAAAGCTCAGAATTAATTATTAGATTGAATGCCGGTTCTTTGTTTTCAGTAACTTATTGTTGATTTAAAATAAAATACTCACAGCTGCTGGTGTCAGGGATTTCGTGAAGACGTAATATGATTGGACTAGTTAGCTTACTAAAGTAAGATAAGTTTTGATTTGTTGGATATTTTTTGTGGTTTGTTAGATGTGACGAAACACAAGTAACAATCTAATCACGGTGTTGCTGAAACAAATCTGTATACTAGGGCTTTATTCCATTTTGCCATTTCCACGACAGCTGCTGCTAAAGCATGCTTCAACGCGTAAAAATTGGAAATGTTTTGTAACAAGGCTTTCTTCATTATGGCTACTCGTGACTTAAAGATCACGAAACAGTAACTTTTAATAATACCCAAAAATCTTTAAAAGTTGTCATTATCGAATAACTTTTGAGTTGCATAAGAACACAATACTTACAACTGAAACCACATACAAAGCACGCTATTGACATGGCATTCTGTAAGCTTAGACATTTTCATCTTCGAATCATTTTTTGATTTTCAAATACACATACGTAAGACCGTGAAGATTACAGTTAAAGTCATTTGCCAATAATTTACTATTTATTCTAATTAATGGAAAAACAAAATGTTTGGATTTAGATTATGTGTCATAATCAGAATACTTGTAAGTTAAAACACGTTTCTTTGAAGTTTCGAACAGTCTGAAATAACTAAGAATAATAACAACTATCAAAAACTAGAGCAATTAAACGGAAAGGATTTTCTACTTTACAGACTTACTGGAAACTGTTAACGATATCAAAGTAGAAAGGTGTTTCTTATAACTAACTGTACAATATCTTTGAAAAATGTCAGTGGAACTTCAACTGGTTGATCCTTCCAGAGAATGACGATTTCGGTTCTATTTAAAATAAAATTGTTATCTCGTATCCCAGGTTATAGCTATGTAATATAAATCAATTATTTTATGATTAATTATGTGATCGACAGTACTGTTCGTCTCACAGCGCCACCCCACATCTAAAACATAAAATATTAAGCATAATGGAAAACCATAATGCCAAATTACAAAATGCGAAGAGTAATAAAAAACAACAACAACAAACACTTTACCATCCTGCATCTGTACCACACATCTTCTCTGCCAACTTGCTCTACTAAAAAAGATTAATACAGAAGTGACGTGAAATACACGTATATTATTATTGATTTGTTTTACTATCATAATTTATGTTAGTGGAAATGATATTTATTGTAAATATGTAACTTTTTTTGCAATTGATGTTATTTTTTAAGAAAGAAGGAAGTATCTGAATTATTTGTAACGACTAAACTTCCACAAGTACAGCTGAGCAAACACCTATAAGGCATGCTAGTTCACAAAGATAAAGACGATGTCCAAAATTCAACAAAGAGCAGACAATGGCATTGATGAAGAGAGTTTGAAACTTCGGCAGAATCAGAAAGATTTATGAAAAGAAAGGGCTGGATAAATTACAAACAGCCGTGAATGGCGAGAAGTATCCCCAGGGAAGAAAGGGCTGGATAAATTACAAACAGCCGTGAATGGCGAGAAGTATCCCCAGGGAAGAAAAGGCTGGATAAATTACAAACAGCCGTGAATGGCGAGAAGTATCCCCAGGGAAGAAAGGGCTGGATAAATTACAAACAGCCGTGAATGGCGAGAAGTATCCCCAGGGAAGAAAAGGCTGGATAAATTACAAACAGTCGTGAATGGCGAGAAGTATCCCCAGAGAAGAAAGGGCTGGATAAATTACAAACAGCCGTGAATGGCGAGAAGTATCACCAGAGAAGAAAGGGCTGGATAAATTACAAACAGCCGTGAATGGCGAGAAGTATCCCCAGGGAAGAAAGGGCTGGATAAATTACAAACAGCCGTGAATGACAAGAAGTATCCCCAGGGAAGAAAGAGCTGGATAAATTACAAACAGCCGTGAATGGCGAGAAATATCCCCAGGGATATTGGCTTCTCGATTCTAACATAGCGAGGCTAAATTATCAGGTATTTCCACAACAACTGCTATTAAAGCATATTTTAACACGTGGTACTAACTAGTAAAAATAGGAAAAGTCTTGTAACAAGCCTTTGTCATGGCACTCTACTCGTGGCTTGAAGACCACGGAAACCTAACTTATAGTTATAAGAACTTCATTTGCTGATATAATTGAATAACGTTATAAATTACACAATAACACATCATTGTTACATACAACATGTACAACTGACACTATGTACAATGCACATTGTTGACATTCTGCTGGATCCTTATACACCATTTCCCTCGTAAGTAATTGCTTTGTTCAGAATCATATGGTGAAGCAGTTTTGAAAGTTTGAACTCTTTATTAACACGAGTAAACATTTTATTTCCATATACTGTTACTTCCTAACTTTGCTTTCAGACCTCCTTGAAACACATTAATATATTATCTGTTCAGGACACTTTTTCGTTCACGTTGGCATGTGAAACTAGGTACTACTTTGCCTAATTCTAAATGGATGTCCAGATGTTTCTGAATAAGCAGCTTGATCCTTCTACTGATATCTGTTTGAAGAAATCTTGGTGTTTAAATTGTTTCTCTCAAAGTAAAGACCAGAAGTTTACCTGAATACAGAAAACGCGTTTTTTTCTAAATCCTCCCCAACATAGAAGATCCTGGAAAGTTGTAGACGTGCGTTTTATCCACTTTTAGTGAACTTAGATTGGTCGATGAATTTCTGTTAAAATCCGGCAATGACTTCGTAAGCTTCAAGTATTGACATCAGAATATAGAGGAGCCACAGACTGGCGAAGAATAAGACTGTGGGCAGCTTATACTTCTTCGGGCCTCCGAGTTCTCCTCCGACGGCATTATGGCGTCGCAACATGAGGACAAGCGCGGTTATGAACGCACAGACACAAAAGAGTGTTACAGAAAACGCCAAGTTGCCAGGGTCAACTAAAAACGGAGTACCCTTGGCTGCGTGGTAGATAGCTGCTAACGACCAGGCGACCCCGATGCCAAGGAACACGTTAACGGCATTGCTTCCTGTCACATTCCCTATGGAAGAGTCGGCGTATCTATCGTTGACAGCCGCTACTTTACTAGCAAAAGTATCTGAAAATGAAAGATAACTTTTCAAAGTGTGCTAAAAAGCATGAAAATATTACAGATGTTTTAAAATCATATATGATACTTTTGTTACTGTATAATATTTAATCAGTAACAGAAACAAATTATTATGGTAGATATTTTTATTATATAACAAAATGCTTAAATAACAACTATTTTCGTATCATCAGGGTTGGAAACGGAAGCATCTCAGAAATCTCTTAGAGTTTGCATTAGTGAGGGCCTTGACTCTTTAAAAAAATTCCAACATGATAATTTGTACTCATTGAAAACATAGTACTGTTACAATACGTTAAAAGGACAATAGCATCTGCAGTTTTCACGACATCTTTATATTTCAGTTACTAGACTAAAGCTGTTTATCATTTCAGTCCCCCAAGTACTTAAGAGATAATCTCCAGGGTTTATAACATTACATTTCTGGATTCAATCCCTACGGTGGACATAGTATAGTATAGCTTTACGCTAAAAACCAGTTCATTGTTTAAGAATTCATTCAATTTTTATTCAACTAGACAATACTTCATATGTTGTTTAGTTAAATGTTAAATCAATCAAAGCCTCCAAATAAATGAAACCAAGATGTTTCCGTCAGCAATACAGACTTAAAACGAAATAGTAGTATAAAATCAAAAAGTATTTGTTAATATTCAGGCCAGTCGGCTTTCATATTTGATTTTGTTAAATTATAAGTTAAACGAGGAAAATCTTTTCATGTTACAAAATAGATGGCGCTGCTTGCTAGTTTTATAATGATGAAAATTATTTACAATAATCTTTGATAGGTTGTTTAGGCAGAGCATTCATAATGAATCTAAATTTCAAATGGACAGCAACTGCCTGTTGTAGAAACCTACAAATGTAGAGGACGACGTTTCGAAAGTCTTCCACCTTTCATCTTCAAGTCAGTGTTGTGTAGTTTGGTCTTTATATTGTTCTAGTGGATTGTGGAGAGCGTGTTATGATTGTGGCTTCATTGTCCATAATCAGATGCTGTAGGCTGATCTGGCTTCATTATTGTCCATAATCAGACGTCGTAAGTTGATTAAGAGAAAATCAGAATAGCTGAATCACCACACGATTAAAAAACAAAAAAACAAAACGAAATGTATGGAAATTATATTGGATTTGTTGCATTAGTAAACTGCCAATCAATAGAAAAACTTGTACAGCACTCACAGCAGTTATTGAAAATGTTGTCGTATCAGAAGACCTTAAGATCGTGTACGCAAGAATAAAGCTTGCTGATATTCAAAGGCGTCGCTAGGCAATTAAAAGATTCGGGGTTCGGGAATTTTCGACGTTTCAGTATGATATCGATCAGGGTTTTCTATTCTGGTATTTCAAGACATCAACTGGGGGATTCAGGGCATGGGTCCCGTGTGCCAGTGACTAGCGACGTCTCTGCTTATCTTATATTTCCCTGACTTGAGGTAGTGAGAAAAACATTCAGAGTTGCTAGTAGTAAAATGCATGTTATAATATAAGAACAAACATTATTGAGAACTCTTAATATAAAGTGTGATACACTGTCCAGTACAGAAGGCCCACTATTCATGCAGGTGGGTGAAAATATCACAAACAAAAGTAGGCCCTTTGGAAAACAGCTCTAAATTTTCTTGGTCTTACCTGGAATACTCGTGCCCAGAGCAACAAAGACAATAGCAGTTACCGAGTCTTTTACACCCAGAGTACAGCCGAAGTGGGAAGCCAAGTCGCCTATAAAGGCAGTGAGAAGGCCGATCACAACAATCGAAAAGACGAAACACAGCCATCCATCAACGTAGTCTGTGGAAAGGAACCAGAAAATTCAAGTTAGACTACAGACTACAAATACTACGTTTTACTAATTGTAATAATGATAACACTTTGACGAAACTGAACGGAATTTGAAAGGTTCAAGTAAGAATGCTGAGAGAAAAATGATTATATTGCTCTCAAGTGGATTCATGTATTTGTTTGATATCAGTTTCTATATTATAGTCTATACTTCTCTTAACATACCTCTGTATTCACCTACATTTCTCACTACAGACTGACTTCGAAAAAGATCTTGTAAAATTCTTGAGGCACAACTTGAATATCGAATTAGAAATGTTTACACACATATATATTTAAGTATTTTTGAAATTGCAGAATTAAAAATACGTTGAATTATTGAAGTCTTCCTCACTCTTCTTTTGTTAATTCTGTTATGTTAGTTATTAACATCAATAATAAAAATAAATCATCATAGCTACTCATGAAGTACTGAAAGATGGATATACTGATTAGTTATCAATCAATAAAGTAAATTAATTATATATAAAGCTACCGTTAGTCACATTTTAAATTTGTTTTGAATGTTCCAGTCTGTTCTTTCGAATTATTTCAGCGACACCTACCTGTAGGGGGAACGAAAGCAAAAAGAACTTTCCAAAAAATAGTAAAGAAATGTATCACATAGTCAGAACATGTCGGTAACTTATCCTCATCATCTTCGTCGCCCTCTACATTTTCGTCATCATCTAACAGAAACGAATAATTTTCAATACTTTATAATACTCACGATTGCTTGTGCATCGTCAAAACTTCACATTTTGAGCTAAAGAATTTAAAGAATAAATTTTAAAATGTATCTTCATAACTTATTTTCTTATGTATTAAAATGTAAATGTTTAATTATCTGACTTTATTCCACTGTGTGTCATTTTTTAAGATTAACTGAAAACATTGACTATATAAGATTCTAGAGATAGAAAGTGAAACACGAGCAAAAAATTCCTATTTGTTGATTATGTATAGCTACAATCGTAAGGTATCTATCTGCTTGTTCGTTGCCATAATTGAAAACTGTGTTCATGCACAGTCACTTAGAAACACACTTAAAACTCACGGCAAGGCACAAATCAATTTGCTCGCAATGGTTTCAAGAACACGTTCAATAAACCAACGGAATGTGAAGCAATATTCTTTTTACAAACGTGTCGCACTACATCATTCCGACTGATAACAGCTGTGTATTCAATTAGAAACAATCTAACACCAGCTGGAACTATATTTTCACATTAGATCGTGATGCATATGTTGATTACGGTATAGGGAGGAACGAGACGTAGTGAATATACCGATCATTGTATCCTGTGGAATGGCACCATCAATGTAAAACCTTACAGGATTCATAACGTATGACTTTTTGGGCTGCAGTATCTTAGTATTCTCGGTCCTGGCTAATTTCAGCCTTACTGGTGATAATTTCCACCACAAACTGTTTGAAGAAGAAGGATTGAATGAATGATTTTCTGAACTTCTATCGCATCATGCTTTATAAAGTGTTATTAAGAGGCACCCCATACCATTAAGTGACTTTAGATATTAAAGATGCCATGAAAACAGCTCTTTCAGAAATGGTAGAAGATACTCTAATTTTGAGCATGCAACATCGACGACAGAATGCATTTGTTTTTCGTGGTGATCATAATCCGTGTTGACGTAAAATGTTATGAGTTGTAAGGACGTAAAACCACTTCTATTAAAAGTCCATCTGCAAGCTTGGGTTGATTGAACAATATTACCACATGACATGTCATCAAATGCCTGACTTGCATAAAACTTTATCGAGTGGACTGATTAAAATTAATTTATAAAATTTTGTATTTTATTACGTAAAAAGCATCCTTTGGTGGATTTGAACAGAATATTTTTATAGTCTTGTGCTTGGTCTGCTTGAGCAGTATATATATATATATATTATAGTATCTGTTAAGACATCCTTTAGTGTAAGCTAATACTGGATCATCACTGGTATGTGTTAAGACATCTTTTAGTGTAAGCTATCACTGGATCATCACTAGTATGTGTTAAGACATCTTTTAGTGTAAGCCAGCACTGAATTTCCTGTAGATATGTTAAGACATATTTTAATATAATACAACACTGAATCTCTTGTAGATATGTTAAGACATATTTTAATATAATACAACACTGGATCTCCTGTCGTATCTGTTAAGACATCCTTTAGTGTAAGTCAACACTGGATGTCTTGTATTGTCTGTCAAGATATATTTTAGTGTACACGTTATTTCGTGTACATAACAACTCTGAAAGAATGTTTTTGTGTATACATGATGACTTTGAAAGAAACTTATTTTGTGTATATTACAGCTGTAAAGATACCTATTCCGTGTAAATTGGAACTCTGGAGAAAACTTATTTCGTGTAACGGTAAAGCTGAAGAATTTTCCTTCGTGTATATAACAACACTGAATGTAATCTATTTTGTGTACATTACAACATTGAATGGAATCTATTTCGTGTACATTATAACTCCGAAGGCAACTTATTTCGTGTACATTACAACACTGAGATGAAACTTATGCACATTACAATTGTAAAATAAACTTCTTTGGTATACATAAAACGCTGAATGAAACTATTTTGTGTTTATAACGATTTTGACATTTTTACTCCGAAGAGAAGTTATTCTGAGTATATCTATACAACGAAAGACAAACATCTCCAAGATAATTTATCTATAGAACCACTTTAAGAAATTTAAAAATAACGACATGTACGTAAAATACTAATTTCTTTATTAATTTATCAAATACATACAACTACTCTGTCGTGAGCTGCTATGCTAGAACGTTCTTCTCAGTTAATATGAACTACTTCCTAAATCTTCGATCGTGCCCAGTTTAATTGCGGCGAGTACGTACACAACAGTGAGGTCAGTCTTGATAAACTTACTGCAAACATTCCAGTGACAGTGAACGCCGGCTTCCATGACCACGTTTAAAACAGACAAAATGGATAAACGTCTATAGGAATTGCTGTGACTCCCATGAAAACAGCCTTTTATTTGGAGATGTTTTTGAACCTTTGTCAACGTTAAATCCTAACTTATTATCTTGTTAATGGTGTCAGAAGATATGCCTAGCTTCATCGCAAAGTTATTTTTGTATTCTTTTAGGTTTTGTTTTTACACATTTTTGTTCCCCACACTCCTATTGATTTGTCCATTGCAGCTCGAAATCAGAGGTGTGAAAAAATAATATATCAGATCTATCTCCTGTCTCCCATAAGTCACTGCCCAATAAGCCTTTCGTACGATACCAGAACTCATCAGTAAATATATTGTATTGGATATAGCGTTTCATAGATCTTTAGTCTCTCATTGTTCGGCTCAACTGATGAGTTCTGGAACTGAAAGAAAGTGTGGAAAAAACATCTGCTGTTGAATTGTTTTTTTTCTCAATGTTCATGAGTTTCGACTACCTTTAACACTTTTCATATTGATGTATTTGTAGATTGACTGCTAGTGATCTTATGTACAACACTGAATTTTAGAAAGACTGAACTTATATTCTATAAAAAATAAATGACGCACAATGAACAACGGATTCTTAAAAGAAACTAATTGTAGAGTTTGGAAATAGAAAAAAAAAAACGAAAGCAGCTGATTTTTATGCTTTATGTTCTAATATGGTGCGCAATAAATTATCTTAACAATACTTCTGTCTATGTATAAACGTATTGTTATTCCTACAAACAAGATTATGTTAACTTTCAAGAAAAACTGTTTTATTTGACACTTACCAGGGCTAACAGTAATGGCTTGTACAAACTGTTCTTTCCATGACGAAGTGCCAATTGTCAGCGACACGTTAGCTTTCTGAAACAGCTTGTCCACTGTATTCTGTGACAAAAACAAACACGCATACATATACGTATATATATAAAACGAATCATTGTAGTAGTATTATTAAAAATAAATACTAACTATTAATAAAAAGTATAAATATTTTAGAAATCAGTGAATGATAAAGAAACTGGATATGGCCTAGTGAATAGCGTGTTGGGCTGCAGGTCGATTGGTCTAAAGTTCGAGCCTCGACTTTACGCTGAACATCTCCACACTTTCATCTATGGAGACATGAAAATTGCCACAATCAACTCCACTATTCGGTTAATAGTAGTCGCGTAGGCGGTGGGTAATTGTTTTTTGCTAACGGTTAAGGATGGTTATTTCTGAGCCTTGGAGTCACTGCTGTTTATCCAATGTGTCGCATAAAGTGTCTTTCAGGTTGAAATATCAAATAGTGAATGTCAAGAATTATTTAATTTCTTTTTATAATAGGTAGCTTTAAATGTATTTTAATTTTTATCACTTTAAAACTAGGTAAGTTGTATTTATGAAAGGAGTGGAATGGCTATTGGAATGATATGTAACAGTTCTTTTCCGATGCAAGGTATTCTTATACTCAAGTCATAAAGATGTGTTCAGATCAAAAATGTAAAATTTCCAATAAAGGGGTGTTCCTTGTAGTTAATGGCACTGGAAAACAAAGGAATACAGGTCAACTTTGGGACACAGTCCCATAGAGTAAGTGACCTGCAAAAGTCGTGCCCCAGCTGTGGTAAGCAAAGAGCGGCGTCTTGTAACAGTTGAGAAACCACGATCACAAAGGTCAGTGGTAAAAGTCTTCCACGTATCTCTGACAAAAAAACAAACAACAAAACGCAAAATAATGAAGAATGATCCCAGTCTGTAAAAAAAGAGGCCAACATGGTATAAGTTCGCCAAAATAAGGCTTTCAGTCATCTCCCATTCAACTGTTCCATATCTAGAGCAACAAGAGAATGAAACGGTTATTCATACTACTCCAGTTGAAGACATATTGGATAAGTTGTTGGATGCATTGCTTATGGATTTACGTGTGATCGGACTGTTGAAACTGGCACTTGGAAACAATTGTTATCGTACAATAGATTATAGAAAGATTGCAGGAAAGAGTGGTATGCTTTGGAGATGACTGTCTTACGACAGAGTTTTTTGCACTGATTACTAAGATTATTATTAAGATGCACGGTCATCAGACAGAGCATGACAGGATGTGATGACATAGACTGTAACGACGTGGTGATGCTCCAAATGCGTTTTATTTTAATATATTCAACTCTCTGTAGGGGTTTCTAGTGTTGGGAAGTTGCATATCGTCATACCTCGGAGCACCAGTTGCTGCTGCTTGGAATGCAAGTAAACCTCGCCCAACAGTCCGTAAAATGTACTCCTGATTCCAAAGAGAATATTAAAATATACACTAAGGTTCGCTTGTCAATTTATTAGTTACAAAGAAAAAATTGACAGATAAAGTAGAAGGTGAGTAATATTTCTATTTTGAGAAATGTCTGCAGAGATGTGAAATGGAATATAAATATAAACTAATAGGAAAGTTATTGCTATTCTTGGTTTGCACTATCACGTTTAACTTTATTGCATTAGAACTGTTTCTATATAAATAATTAAGATGTTACCGTTAGAAATATTTATTTCTTCAGTTTGGTTTTTAGGCTTAGTAAAGACTAACTGACGTAACACTACTGAATGGCCACAAATCTTACTCTTGCTGGTTCTTGAGGTTTTAAGTAATATGCACGAACTGCTACTCGTGAACATATCTTTAATTCGTTTTTTATGCAGTGTTTCTTTGACTAAATTATGCTTTCAGTTAGTAATATTACTATGAAAACTTTGAAACAAACAAATACAGTGATCTACATTTTGTTTTGAATTTGGAACTACCACCTAGCTTTAAAGTTTAATTTGTGATTGTATTAAGTGGGAAAAATGATCTTTTTACTCGAAAATTCTCATGTAGTTTTATTATTAATCTTGTTTCTGATTGTATTAAATGGGTAAAAATTAAGTGTTTAGCTGGAGAGACTATGTTTTTTTGGGAAGTTCAGATTGTGATTGTATTGAAGGAAAAATAATGCATGTTTTTACTTGAACAGACTCGTTTAGTTTTCGAAAGTTTTAATACGATTGTATTATAAGATAAACAATTATGCGAACATTTAAAAGTATTCTGTAGTTTGATATTTTCAATCTAAACGGAATTATAATGTTATGTGATCAGTCAGAGACCTCAAGATTCAGACTTAGGCGCTCCTAATAAAGAACTGTTGATGAAAATCAAGTAGTCAGCAGCACCTGCCACCTACACGGCTATTCGTAACCAATTGAGTGCCAGTTTTATAAAGCGTCCTCAGCTGGAAGTGCGGAGGGTGTTTCAGTGGGACATCTTGGGCTCGAATCTAGGATCTTCTGTCCACATTTAAAACACTTGTGCCCTTGTTCTTTCAGTATACTCGGAAAGCAGGAACGTCGAACCTTGATAAATAAATTAAGTGGAAAATTGAAAATGGACTTTACGACCAAATAAAAAAAAGGTTTTTAGAACATCAAATGTTAACTGCTGGCAAATCCACATCTTTCTCTAACACAGCAAAAGGTGAAATACTTTTTCAAATATTGAACAACATCAAACAGAGATAAATTCCTTTGAGGTCATATTTCAAACAACATGTCGTAGAATGTAATTGTATGACTAAATGTGAGTACCTTATTCATATACAGATATATTTGTTATATAGCAGTTTTAATGTGAGTTGATCTCAAAGACGTATAGATATAAAGGTAAAACTATTTACTTTTTAAAGTAAAACCAAATGATCGTCAGAAACAGGTGGGTGTTTCAAGGGGCTTCAGATTTTCATATATAATTTATTTCCACGTTCGTAAGTTAAAGATTGATATGTTAAAAAAACAAAAACTGTTAAACCTGTTGTCCGTATAATCACGTGATAACATTTATATAAATCTATATATAAATATATCAGTATTATGGCTTTACGATTGTCATGCGACTAATACTAGAAAATCCCAGCTTACAGACACTAACAAAGATACTGTCTCCAAGTTTAACGACCACACATATCACCAATTGTTTTTTAATGTATTCGGATAAATACGATCAGGATGAAATAAAAATCATGTTAAATTTCTTTCCATGTATGTACATTGGTATCATTGAATGTGATTAAAAGTATATCCTCACTACAACCTCTTATTTCTTAATTATCAGGCCTAACAGAAAGCTGCTCCGTTTCTCTTACACAACAATTCCGATAAGATAAGTAGGTGTGTAATTTCTGTCTGCTGGCATATACCTCAGTTAATAAACTTACACAACAATTCCGATAAGATAAGTAGGTGTGTAATTTCTGTCTGCTGGCATATACTTCAGTTAATAAAGTTACACAACAATTCCGATAAGATAAGTAGGTGTGTAATTTCTGTCTGCTGGAATATACTTCAGTTAATAAACTTACACAACAATTCCGATAAGATAAGTAGGTGTGTAATTTCTGTCTGCTGGCATATACTTCAGTTAATAAACTTACACAACAATTCCGATAAGATAAGTAGGTGTGTAATTTCTGTCTGCTGGCATATACTTCAGTTAATAAACTTACACAACAATTCCGATAAGATAAGTAGGTGTGTAATTTCTGTCTGCTGGCGTATACTTTTTCAGTTAATAAACTTACACAAGAATTCCGATAAGATAAGTAGGTGTGTAATTTCTGTCTGCTGGCATATACTTCTGTTAATAAAAGAAAACCTACGATTTGAATAACGAGAATAATCAGATACTCGACAGAGGCGTCTTAACAGAGAGTGCTGGGTTATCAACTGCGAATTATATTATCATATTAATTTTCCGGGGGACATGTCCCCAGACCCTCCTACATTGAGCTGTAAAACCTGCATGTCCAGATTTGCACCCTCACTTTGCAACTCCTTTGTACACCACTACTCGAGTCACATAATTGACCTAATCGAGAGAAGCAGTACCCGAATCCGACATCATTATAAACCTACACCTTAACTGTCAAAGAAACACATACTGATCAAACGCAGAATAGTCCCTTATCATCAGGAAACTAAACCTTAACTGTACAAGAAACACGCCATACGCAGATTCATCGGACAGCATCAGGAAATTAAAGTTTAACTTCATAAGAAACACACACTCATGAGATAAGCGAAATATTCCATACTAATATAGTGAAAGAAAGATGGCGGGAAAAATGTAACAAAATATAAACATAGAAAACACAAACACTTAGATTCTTTGTGTAAAAGAAAATTCATATTGTCTAATATATATATATATATACTTGAAAAAATGAAATATTTATAAATATCACTACTAGCCAAAATATTTTTAATCGTGCTAGTGTATTATAAAATTTCTTAATTTTAAAAATAAATAGATTAAAATATTACTTCTCGTTTTCAAAACAAAATCCTGTATCATCATGATCGTTTGAAAGACATATTTTATGAAAAATAAAGTCTGTCAAAAAATTAAAGTCAAATTCGTATATCTAGAAACATTGATCTTGACCAACCAGTGGAAAGAACAGAGTGTGTCTGTATACATAAATTAAGAAAATGCAGATAATAATCGACAAATATTACAAGTTGACTGAATCATGTGATTACTGTTCAACATAATGGCTATGATTATGTGCTAACAGTCATTAATGTTAATTACAAAGCAGATAAAAACAATAAAACTAAAGATGTGTTACTAAAATAATCTTATGCGAACACAGCTTTTTTCATAGCCTACCTCTACAATTATGTTTCACTGTGTCAGGTGTATAACGCTGCTGAGATGGACATAATACTCAGTACAGTGGATTTAAGAAAGTACTTTATATTCACATGGTAATTTGGATGGAATCTTATAATTTGATAATAGGAAGATACACAAGATCTATAATTGAGTAAATGAATTCAGCTCTCTCTTTTTTGGGAGATTTAGTCATCCGCGCGCGACGCTGCGTCACGTGTAGGTGACGTGAACCTACTTCTTGTATAATCAACGAATCAGTCTTTCGAGAGCCATTAGGATTACTTAAGTATGCCTCTTTGTTCTCACTTTACAGATAAAACCTAATTACAATAATGGACTATTTATTATTCATATAAATGATTTTGACCTACAAAGTGGGTGTCTACTATTATTTAGATTGTTGTTTTTAATCACGTTTCACATATAGTTCCATGTGTACAATACCCACCGCAAGACCGTTTTTCTATTTTTCTAATACATCTTTGTTCACGATATCTATCTTCTGAAGTCAAAGACCAGCATAATGATTAGTTTGTTTGTTTTTAGAACAAAGTCACATTGGATTATCTGCTGTGTCCACCGCGGAGAAACGAACCCTGCATTTTAACACTGTAAGTCCACAGACTTACAGCTGTTCCACCTGGTCCAGTTTACTGATAAACGAGAGTTTGAAATGAGTTTTATTATAACTTTTCCAAGAGTTTTATGATACATATTTGTTTGCTGAAGCGAAAAGCTGCTTAAAATGAATTATGTGTTTTGTGCCCAGGATTTTAATCTTGAATTTTAACGTTTTAAGTCCTAAAGATTTAAGCCGCGGGGACAGGGTATTTTACGACACTTGCAAAAATGTCCTGTGTAGCTTCATACCGCCTATCCTTTATTTATAGTATGTAATAAATTGTAACTTTCTTGTCAGAACTCAGATTTCTCAGGTTTTTAATTTGCACTTTAGTATTAAATTTAGGATAAAATTGCCTTTGTAAATATCCAACTCAATAGGATACTTTTTATTGTTTTAGTATATTCTCTTGTAACTAAACAAGAATATATATATATTGTTTTATTTTCCGAATTAGTCGCGTAGTTTCAGGTTGAAGAATTTATAAATGTCCAAATTAATTCCTAAGTTTTAATTATCGAGTAAATGAGCCTGCAGATTAAACTTTACTAGAATTGTACGACTACAATAAAAAATAATAATTCACTAAGCTTTGTTAAACTGAGAGCAACAATATGACTCAAAATTTACTTATGTTTGGATTTATTCCTCTTGTCTAACGTAAAATCAATTGTAAAATATCAAGAGTTTTTCAAGCGTTCTGCATTTTCCGAAATCCGATCGATTACCGAATTCTATAAAATAACGTTAGTGTAATTTTTAACACCATAACTTGTATATTGCTCTTATCCTACATGAAAAATACATAACCAGTTAAGCAGATATTATTGAACTTAACGCAACGAGTCTTATCAATGGCACGAGATAATTGCAGTCGAGTCTAACTCTACAGATTTGTTTTCTTTACCATTGGATGAGAAATTATTTCAACAGTCTTTAATATAATTAACTGTAACTTTCTTTAAAATTGCCTGTTTTACTTACAACGAGTGTCTTGGTTTTCGTGTAATATATTCTGGTCCCAAGTCTTGTTAATTGACATTAATACTCGACCTCATGATCAGTTTTATTCTAGTTGAATTCACTGTACATTTCTATTATGTACATAAGGTTTTTTACCATTTTTTTTCGCTGTTATTATGTCCGGAATTCTCTGTACCAATTATTTTGAATTTCTTATTGACTTGAATTTTTGTATATAAGCATAATCCCCATAACAATATCGCATAGTTCGGGTTTTTGATACTTACTTTAACCCTATTCTAGTTTGACCTTACTTATCTTGGGGAATAAAGCGTTTTGAAGATTCGTGTTTCATTGAAACGGATACCTTGAATTCTCTACTTTCCACGATACGAATGGTAGTCTTGTATTGCTCCCCTAATCTCGGTCTTCCTAGTAAAGCAATCTTTTCAGCTTCTGTCATTTCTGCGTTTGGGGAGTTGTCATTGATGTCTTGTCTGGTGTTTTCTTGGACATCTGAAATGTAGATAATATCTTTGGATATGAAATAAAGCAAAGTGTACAAGTAAAACGATCTTTTAGTGCACACAAGAACCAATTAGTTTAGTTGTTCTAGTTAAATAAAACTGAAAAATAAAGGTTTGCAAACCTCTCAGAACGGACGTAATCTTCATATAATCAGAAGAGTTTTTACAAAGTTAAGTGAACAGACGTAATCTTCATCTAATCAGAAGAGTTTTTACAAAGTTAAGTGAAC